TGGTGCTCGAACACGATCAAGAGCGAAGATCGACGGGAACCCAGATAGGGATTCGAATCAAAACAATGGAAAATCAAATCAAATTGTTCACAAAACCCAGAAGCAAATGCAGCGTAAGACAAGCCCTTTTAACAGAGAACTTTACCTGTTCTAGAGTGCAAGACGACGACGACGACGATGAAACCGAGGATGAAAGCGAATAGAGACAAACCCACCAAACAAAAAACTCTTTTTTTTTTCGACAATGGGAGACGTTGACGGAAGAAGAAGAAGAAGAAGAACAAATTTACACTACACGTCGAATTTCAGTGTGCCCACAGAAAACCCCAAATCGAATAAACCCGAGAATTTTGAGAGGCGTTTACGTTGATTTCGAAGGGAAAAATTCAGACTTTGTTTTTTCTTTGTCCCTTTTTTTCCTCTAATTGAATTTCTACGTAAACGAAATGAGAATTTATAACGGGAGACAATAGGGTTGCTGTCGTGTGTGGCATTTTCACAGTATATACTCGGAAGAAAAATGTATTTCTTTTTTTCTTAAAGAAATTTTCGTAATTAAACAAAAAGTTTTTTCTTAAATTATAATTTAACCATTTTTTGCCACTTTTTATCGAGATTTTATTTTTGCCTAATACAGAGAGTTTCCTTGACGACGAAGAACGAGGTTGACATTTGGCAATTTGCAGATCCAGTTCTGTTCGTTTTTGTTTTTTGTTTTATTCTTTTGCGATATTCTCGTAATTTTGTTTTTTTTCTACGGGAAAAATTTATTATTTTTCCTTATGTTATTTTGGTCGTATTTGTGGGTCCACTCGAACCATTTCTAAAAAAAACGAAAGTCGCGAATCGTGATCACCAACTTCGGTTTTATATCAATATTTTTAATACTTTTACGTTCAATAGGTGACCATTTCAGGTATTAACCGAATAACCGAATCGAACCGAACCGAATAAGATATAACCGTATCCGAATCAAATTCGACATCAAAACCGAATGGTGATGATTTTCTTAAACCCGAAAAAACCGAAACCGAACCGAACTGAATCGAATAAAAAAATAACTAAAAAAACCGACGATTTCTTTGAAAAAAATGAGTTTTTTTTTACCGAAACCGAACCGGAATTTATGTAAAAACCGGATGGTTATAGTTTTTCTATAACCGAAATAACCGAATCCGAATATAACCGAACCGAACCCGAAATGGTCACCAATTCAAAACACTAATGTACATGTAAACTACCAAATACTTTCATCCAACATAAAACAATATCGATAATTACTATATTTATTACTTAAAAATCAGATGAAAATTTGGGTCTGAAAATATAAAATCAATTGAATCTAAACAAATAATATGTATTTATAATCGAATTTAATTCAATTTAAAAAAGTTTGGTTATAAAAATAATTATTTAAAAAATGGAAACATAATTCAACTAAAATTCGAGTTGAATTAAAATACGAACAATTGAATAAATTTAATTTTTCTAAAACTGTAAAGTCAAACTCTAACGAAATTAGAACCGAAGTCAGAAACATTACCCACAATATACACACATATAATATATACTTTCACACATAAGCCTAAGCAAATGTTTTCAATGGATGAAGAGTGAGAAGTAGAGTTGTTGGGTATTTTTTTTTTATATGAGTTAGAGAGAGAGAGAGATTGGTGGGGAAATTAAAGTTTGAATAAAATTTAATGTCAACAACCCTAACCCTTGGTGTGGCGATAGAGACCAAACCAAATTTCAAATATTAAATTATATGTTAAACCAAATTAATAAGCAGCTCTTGGGAGCCACCAACCAATAAACACCACATACGGCATTGCCTCTTCTTCATCTCGAGGGTTCTGTTCCATTAGATGCCCCCAAAATCATCATTTCTCAAAATACAAATACAACTTAACATAAGGTGTAATCTCATTGAAAAAATATATAATACCATTAATTTTATAATTATATGTAAAGAAAATTACAAGATGTAAATGAATATCATGAAATGTATATATAGAACATGGTTTTGTGATTTTTGGACAAAACAATGTGTTGTGATGTGATTCCTTACACAACTAAGAAGTAAGGTGACATCTGTCTACAAACATTTAATAAATAACTACAAAGAAATGTATATACAGAATATACTTTTGAAATATTCCTTCTAACCATGAATATATAAACATTTAATAAATAACTACAAAGAAATATGTTTAGGCAAAAATTGTTTTTAATGAGGCAGAAGTGATCATATATTAAGATTGTCTTCTGCATCTATTTTCATTAATATATACATACATATATATATATATATATATATATATTTCTGAGACTTTAATAACTTTATGATATGGTATATGAATTTTAATTCTTCAGATCTATTTGTTAAATATAGATGTTGTTTTACAGATTTGACTATTGCATTGCATTGTGAACATTTGGTAATAAAGAGAAGCGGTTGTTGGCTGAAATGGGCTTTATGGGTCACACATATATAAAGTTTAAAAAGCCCAAGAGCCCATTTTTGTTTTTTGGGCTAATTGATCATATCATAGTTGGGATATTTTTGTATGGTAACTATAAATGATGAAGAGATCTACTAACACTAAAGAGGAAAATCATATCTATTTTCTCTATCTGCAAAGAAAATCTAAATTTGACATATTTGCAAACTGGATATAAATATTTGTGATTTCTTGTCGTAAGAAATTTCCAATTAAACCAAAAGAAATTTGTAAGGGACAAGCAAAGGCACTTTCACGAGCAAAGAAGTGACAGTCAGCCATGAAAACAGAGATCTGTAACAATGTCTCATTTCACCATTCATCTAAGTCATCATGATAATGTAACATTATATGTGTATATATATATATATATATATATATTAAAGGCTTTATTATATTGATGATTGATCGAACCGAATAAAAAAGACAGAATACCATTGTCGATGCTCTAGATATCCTCATTAAGATCTTGGTATTGCTTGAGAAGCTCGGCACAGAAAGCGTCAGGCGCTTCCTTCTCAAACCCCATGTTATTGGCGTAACGATTCTGAGAGGCAATGCCGTTGTTGTGGTTAAGGATCACGCGGGATTGTTCACGGCCCGGGGAGATTCTCGGGCAGTTAGTGTCGGGACTCTTCACGAGCTTGACATCGCACATCTGGTCCTTGTGATCCTCGTGGACAAAGAACTTGTAAGATCCGCCATTGTCGGTTGTGGTCTCCTCGGTGTGCATTACCTTCATGGTTTTCCTGTCCTTGCACTCGAGTTTCACGGTGGCACCTGCACGAAAAAGAAAAAATTGCGACAATTCTCAACCATGGATACAACATTGGATTGGACCCAACAAAGATCTGTTCTTTAATCAGCAAAAGAGGTTATGAAATCTTGCAACCAATGCCATCTCTGATCTTTCACAGTATTTGGATTCATAAAATACAGCCAATTTCACCAACATATATTGCAAATTTCCAAGGAACCCAATTGGATCTAAATGGGGAAATCTCATGTGAATGTTGAGGTTATGCCCAAATTACAGGCAAGGGAAGATTAGATTTCAACTACTGAATCAAACATCACGACCACACGCATTGAATCGATTGTTGAAAGGAACAAAGGCTGGATAGCAGACACCCTTTCTCAAAACATCAAGAATCCATCAAATCTACGATACAACTTTCATGAAATCTAACGTATCTGCCGGATGTACAGTCATCTCTTAAGAATTTCGAATTCAGAGAGCATCTCGAGCGAGATCGAGTGCAGAAACAGAGAAGTAACATCAAAATCCCAGTAGATCTAGAGGAGATCAGCCACAACACAGACACCCGACAAACAGATCATCACCCATTTCGCAAACTAATCCATTTCTCAGTCGATCTAAATCAAATCGACTCAGATCGAAGAAGAAACAATAGCGTGATGAAGGAGGGATGAGTGAAATTTACCGGGGATGAAGTAAGAAGCAGAAGTCTCGAAACCGGCGAGGCAAGGGTCACAGTAGGTGCGACCTTCCACGACCATGGTGTTCCCGTCAACCTTCGGCAACCTCGCCGCCATTGACAACGCCGGCATAACACAGAGAACCATCAACATCGCCAATTTCGCCATTTCAATCGTCACAAGAGTTTCCCAGATCGAGATCGAGAACGAGAGAGAGAGATTTTTGAACTGAAGTGAAGAAGAAGAAGAGCGAAATGCGAAGTGGAGTTTTTTAAGATAAATGGAGCGAATCTAGGAAGACGAGCTGAGTGGCAAGTTCGTAAATTACCCGTCTTAGTATGATGACCTGGCGAGATATTAATGGATAGCACCGTGTGGACCCCACTGATTGGACCAAAACGCGGGAATCGTTTGCATAAATACAGCTGGGAATATCTGTCGGTGCTCGGCCCAATAGTGTTGGGCTTATTTAAGCCCATTGTAACTGTATATAGTTTTATGGTTTCGGAAGAATCTGATGACTCAGGCCCAATAAAGGCCCAATACGGCTCTGTTATTTTACATCATGATTTGTTACAACCGTAACTTCTGTAATTTAAAATATTTAGTTTCGATTACCGTAATGGTCTCATTATAAATGTAGATTCCGATCCTAATAAAATAATGAAATGAAAATATTTATATATATTTTAGTTACAAGTTGACAAAAAGACAGTTTTCGAAAATGATGTTTTTGTTTTCCCAAAAACATGAATTAATAGATTTTATATTTTTAAAATTTTAGATAAAGATGCGTAACCTAATGATTCAAAATTTTACTTATCTCCTAAAAATGCGAACCGTTGCGTTACTAATATAGAAACCTTTAACATAAAGCAAAAAGGAAGATGGGCCAAGTTCAAAGTGACACATCATTCAATCTTTTTTACCGAACTCAATATTGTTTAATTTTTTTTCTTAAAAAGAGTCAATTCTTTTATCATATTTACAATAAAAAACAACATATATATATTGATATAAAAAATAAAATTTATTAGGGGTCACTATATAATTCTATCATATTATAACAATGCCTTATATATATTTTGAAATTCCATAGTAACAGCTCCGTTTTGAAACGTAGATTTTTTTTTTGTACATTAAAATGGAACTATGAGGAATCACACAAGTGAAGCATATCTCCATTGGATATTAATATTGGAGGCGATAAGAAAAGTGAAGAGATGAGACATTTATTATTATTATTATTATTATTATTATTATTATTATTATTATTATTATTATTATTATTATTATTAGTTTGATTTGTAGTCCCCATATTGCGAATTTATACTTAAGTGGCAAACATCAATTATTTGATTTGTACCTAAAAGTTGTCATATTCCATGTGACCATTGATATGTGTTGCACTCTCCCAACCTCTGATATGTTTTCAATTCACCATTACTTGCCACAAAAATATATCATTAAGTGCACAACGTGTGTATGTGTGTGCGTGTATGAAAAAGTTGAACCCTCAAAGAGTAATGCGGAAAACTAATCAGTTCTATTCACTTGAGAAAGATAGTCAAGTACAACTCACTTTTTGTTGTAAGAATCGTACTTACTACACACACCCGAAACTCCCCCTGAGTTTCTTCCCCTCTCACAATGAATTCTACTGATCAAAAAACCTCACCACATAAATCACTCACCAGAGAGAAGAGATTTGCCCAATCGGTCTCCCTCTCAGACTCGCACTCACCAGATAATGAGAACACACTCACTTAACAAAATAGACTTAGAAATTATGCTCCTTCTCTCTATATCGATCTGCAACTTGTGTCTTCTTTATATAGGCTCCTCCCTTAGCCTCAGATCTCCACGAATTGATTTGATAGACTTCTCCTTGATTCTTGTTGGTTTCGTGTCTATCTTCAAGATCTCATCTTTATCTCTTCAGCTTGACTCTATCTCTTCAGCTTTGACTTCATCTGAATCTTGTCAGTTGCATCTCAGATATCTTCGAGTTTGATCTTTGCCGAATCTTTCTCCTGAAATCTCTCAAAGTTTGTTGGACCTGCAACAAACTTTCAACAACCCAAGATACGTGCAAATATATGCACTAACAATCTCCCCCTTGTTGGTTATTTCAGATCATGCACACAATCGTAAATCCTTCATCAAATTCCAACAAACTAGAGTCATCACACACTAAACTTCAAGTCATCAAAAACACATAGAGTCATCGCATAAAGTCATCATACGCACATAAGTTCAGATCATTAGCATAAGAGAAAAAAAATCAGAATCGATCAGATGAGTCCTCCGATGAACTCTTGGCCCTCTTAACTTTCTTGATTGTTCCTGACTTCTTCGAGGTTTCTGCTTTCCGTGGAGTTTGTTTGGTCATCTCAGACTCTTCTTCTTCTTCTTCCTCCGAATCTTCTTCTTCTGAGTATAGATCTCCTCCTGCTTCCTCAATTTCTCCCCCTGTGGGCATGAACGAAATAATCAACAAACAAGTTTATCCAGTTGAGGAATACCTGATTGAATAATGAGCACATTACTCAAAGTTGCTTCCACAAATTCATGGACTGATGCACGAATCTTCTGGCAGTGTGTTGCCTGCTTCCTTAGACCGAGTTCCATCTTGATCAGAGCCTTTTCTGCGTCCTTGAGTGTCTCCAGCATCTTCTTGAAGTCCTTCTTTCCTTTTCCCTTCTTCCTTTTGATTCTTGACTCAACTACTAGAGGTTTTTGAACAACCTCAGTGTTCTCCTTTGGATCAATGAGTTCAGGGCACTGCTTGATGAGTATACTTTGAATCAAGCAAGGATAGGGTAACCTGAACCTTGCTCTGAAGTTCAGTGCTCTATCCAGAATGTGATCAAAGATCATACTTCCATAATTGATCTCGATTCCCTTCTTCACGCAGTAGATGAGTATCGCCAATCTCTTGTGGATCAGACTCGATCGCTGAGTTGGTAACCAGTTGGATCTGGCGATCTTGAACAGAACTGAAGATTCAAAATTCAGGTCTACTGGTGCTATCTCTTCTTTCCTCTTCTCGTCATAGCTATCAGTGAGTGCTATTTCCAGTTCCTTCTGATCAATCTCTCTATCCA